TCTTTCTGTGACCCCGAGGGTCCTGAGACCACACTGTCCTGCGAGGGTTCCACCCCCCGCTTAGCCGCTGGAGCGACGTCCCTCAGCGGAGCCGACTTCTAAAAGTTCCGATTTTGTGCTCCGCACTTGCCAGAAGCTGCCCACGGAGGCCCCCTCCCCCGCCATCTATCTTCCGAATATCGCCTGGGATTCAGTTCTCCGCACGTGCTACCTTCCAGAAAGTGGTCGCTTTTCCGTTCAGAGTGTTCATGCAATTCTTTTCTTCAACTCCTCTTGAGTTCGTAGGTGTTCAGAACGTTTTGATCCCTATTTAGCTGAATTCCTGGGACCCTACGAAATTTAGGTCTCCTACTCCTCCGCCATCTTGCTCCTCTTTCTTTTTTATTTCATAGCACAGAAGGAATTTTTATTATGAGAGAAGAAGCAGTGCTTTTATTTTCTTTTGTTATTTGTTTGCTTGTTAGATGAACGATACAGCCATGAGTTTTGTGTGGTTTATTTTATATATTAATTAACCAGTTGGGAAGAATGATCCTAAGAATTTGATAAGTTAGCTTGATGTGCCAGTTTTAGAAGTCAGATTCTAAAATTAATAATCCTAGTGTTTAGGTGTGGCAACATCCAGTGTTATGTACATTCCATCTTTATAGCCCGATAGCCACATACAATTTTTACATTATTTTATCAAGAATTTAAAATTTAACCAGAGTTATTTTTCTTCCTACCCCTCTCGAAGACTCAAAAGTCTTAAGTGCAATTAACTAAATTAATTTTGACCACGACCAACAAAATTAAGAGTGGATAGAAGTGTGTATGTTAGCTTTCAAACCTCATGAAATAAAGATTTTTAGTTTTTCCTCCTTCTGGAGTATACAGAAAGGGAGAATCATTCTTTGGAGGACATTATACTCTCTTAATAGGTGACATTCTTATGTCTTCTGTCACAAAATCTTGTTTTTAAGCAAGAGTTGTCAGAATAATGTTTAAAATTAGTACTTTTAAGCTTATTTAAACATTTTTGGCTTTGTGCTGATATTTTCCTTTCTCATTCAACTCACCGGATAAGAAAACAATAACTTTATGATCTGTACACTTAAAGATTAAAATTGATGTCATTTATCTCCAAATATTTACTTTGTCTTCATGCCTGAAGAATGGATATATACCAATAACTCCAAAGTTTCAGTTCATAATTTAGTTCATAATTCATATCAAAATTCCTGTTTTGATCAGTATTGTTTTCAATCTTAATGTTTTGGGTTTACTTATCTGATATTTAGTTTAAATAAGTGAAACATTATGTAAGTTTTGAAGTGTATTGTTTTATAGAGTTGAAACAGGGGGCAAGTTCTTTAGGTCAAAACTTTGGAGATAGTATATTTTTAAAAGTAAAGATGTACTTCTAGCTTCATGACGTAAGTTGAATCACAAAGAATTTTCATTCAAGTTTTTTAATGGTGTAGTACTTAAAAATATTTATTAGGCTTTTGCCAAGTTAAAAACAAAGTATATGTTCATTTGCAGATGTGCTAATTTTATATTAGATTCTTTGTTACCATTTTGGCTTCTCTTGATAATGAGAATAATTAGAATTAACTATTGTTTGGGGGTGACGTACATATATTTGACAGAACTAGAAGAACAGACTCGAAAAGCTCTGGAACTGGACCAGGAACGAAAACGAGCAAAGGAAGAAGCAGAAAGGCTTGAAAAGGAACGTCGAGCTGCTGAAGAAGCCAAGTCTGCTATCGCAAAACAAGCTGCCGACCAGATGAAGAATCAGGAACAACTGGTCAGGAACCTTAGTTCTGTCTCAGAGAAGAAGAAAAATTTAGATAAAAGCATGAAGCAAACCTTAAAACTATATTAGATTTTTTGGAAAGCAAACCAAAGATACAAGTAATCTAATAACAAAGTGTGGAAATAAACCTAAAAATTTTATTTCTGCCTTAAAAAAAAAACACCTAAAAATAATAAAATATCAGTGGAGTCTATTGCTAACAGAAGATTTCTGATTCACTTAAACTTTACGTTAGTCACTAATATGTTTTACTTAAGATAAATTGACAAGATCTTCTAATTCCTTCTTAAAAGATAAATGTAGGCCATAATTTATTGGGTGTTTGTTTAGTGAACTAGCAGATACTGAGTAGGCAGGACATTTAAAAGATCCTGGAATTAAATATTGGTTCAGACATTTACTTGATATGTGTCCTTGGGTCTTTCTGAGCCCTAGATCCTTCCCTTTGCAAAAAGGAATAAAGGCACCAGATGGGATTGTTGGGGAATCCAATTAGACTATTTGACAGCATACTTTTTAAACTATAAAGCATTATATAAAATGCAGTTTTTTTCCTCTTGTAGGATTTAGCAAGTACTTTATTGATCAAAGTTAAAAAATAGCACCTGAGTTCCACGTTTTACATTCCTGCTACTGAAACAGGAAGAACTGCTTATCTGTAAAATAATAAAACTGCTTTCATTTTGTCTCCTTACTAGTTCATTAGACCTACTCTAAATAAGATATTTATGATCTTAAATGCTACCTTTTTTAAAAATGAAAGACTAAGAGAGTCATGTAAAACAGCCCAAACATGTACATTAAAGCTTTGTTGACAGAATATTTTCGAAAATTTTTTTTAGTATTGGTAATTATATTCTTTATTTTAGGCAGCAGAACTTGCTGAATTCACTGCCAAGATTGCACTTCTAGAAGAAGCCAAGAAGAAAAAGGAGGAGGAAGCTACTGAGTGGCAGCACAAGGTGATCATTTGTTTTTCCACTCAGTATCATTTATTGAATATCTGTTTTTGTACCTAGCAGTATGCTGAGTTTGTAGAGCTAAATAGAAGATTCGGTCACAATTTAGAGGGACGAGATACCTGTGTGTATGAGTGGGTGTGTATTGTAGTGATTGCTAATCTGTTGATGCAAGCTAAGTACAGAGGAGGTGATTAATTTCTGTGGGAGTGAGGCAGGTTTTGGGGAAACCCTTGTAAATTTAAGTTGGATCTTGAATAAATAAAGTCAGTTTTGGGATAGAAAAGATTGAGAGTGGTTAGAGACTGAAAAAGTCATCATTCCAGACAGAAGGAACTGAATGATTATAGGAAGTTGGAAAGTATGTGGCCGACTTGAAGAACTACCAGTAAGTAAGCACATCTTTAGAGCATAGGTTCAGGTCTTGAGAGATGTGGCTGGGAAGTTACAGAGGAAATTAAGTTGTGAAGGGCCTTAAATAAATTGCAAGGTGATAGGGAGTGTCTGTAGACATTGGGCTTTTAAGATTTTGAAACAGAGACGCTTGGGTGGCTCAGTTGTTAAGCGTCTGCCTTCGGCTCAGGTGATGATCCCAGGGTCCTGGGATTGTGCCCCAGATCGGGCTGAAGCCTGCTTCTCCCTCTCCCACTCCCCCTGCCTGTGTTTCCTCTCTCGCTGTTTCTTTGTCAAATAAATAAAATCTTTAAAAAAAAAAAAAGTTTTGAAATAGGATTATAATATGATCAGGTAGGGCTTTATAAAAATAACTTAGCAATCAATGTAGAGGATGGATTGGTCTAATGGGATTACCTGAGAATGAAGAGGACCAGGGATTATTGAGAGACATCTTGTGGTGGACTCAAAAGGGCATGGCAACCAAATAATGGGTATGAAGAAGTCAAATTAGAGGGATGCAATGAAGATGATACATACTGAGATTTTGTTTTTAATATTTTATTTATTAGAGAGCGTGAGTGAGAGAGAGCACAAGCCTGGGGAAGAGGGGCAGAGGGAGAGGGACAAGCTGACTCCCCGCTGAGCAGGGAACCTGACAAGGGGCTTGACCCCAGGACCCTGGGATCATGACCTGAGCCAAAGGCAGACACTTAACTGACTGAGCCACCCAGGCGCCCTATCCTGAGATTTCTAATATAAGTTCCTCAGTAGATGAAGCCACTACTGTCTGAAATAGTACACAAGTGAAAAATCAGTTTAATTCAAACTTTAAATAAACGTTAACTCTTCAATGCAACTATGATAATTTGACTTTCCTGCAATGAATGTGAATACAGTTTTCTTTCACTCTTACTTAAATTTTCTTTGTAGCAGTTTAAACTTCATAGGGCAATTTTGATATATTGAGAATTCTGTGTATGTGTGTATATATAACTCAAAACAATACAACTCTTGTCAACCCATTGCACCACTTTCTTTATTAGAATTTCGAGACACATAAACTTTTAAAAATAACACCACATAGGCAAATCCTGTGAATTACAGAAATGAGGAAGTGACACAAAAGAAAAATCACATTCCTACAAGCCAGGATCACTATTTTATTAACACCCTAGTGCAGATCCTTCTAGAATCTTTTCCTGTTTGCATATGTGTATAATACACATTTGTGTGTTCAGACTACCGTTTTAGTCACTTTTCATCTCATCTATATTAGACTATATTCGTAAAATTTTAAAATTCAGATATAATTGATGTATAACATTAATTTCAGGTGAATGACTTCATTGTTTGATACTTGTATATATTGTGAAATGAGTTAACACCCATCACCAAATACAATGACAAAATTTTTTTCTTGTCATGAAGACTTTTAAGATTTACTCTCTTAGCAGCTTTCAACTTTCAAATATACTATGCAGTATTATTAACTGTAGTCTCCATGCTATTTGTACATTACATCCCCATGACTTATTTATCTTACAGCTGGGAGTTTGTACCTTTTTTTTTTTTTTTTTAAAGATTGAGATAGAGAATAAGCACGAGTGGGGGAAGGGTAGAGAATCTCTAGCCGACTCCCCATTGAGTGTGGAGCGCATCATGGGGCTTGATCCCAGGATCATGAGATCATGCCTTGAGCCGAAGTCAGACACTTAACCGACTGAGCCATCCAGGTGCCCTGGGAGTTGGTACTTTTTAAGCCCTTCTCCCATTTGCCCACTCCCCACCCTCCCTGCCATCCCCCACTTCTGATAACAAGGAATTTGTTGTCTGTATCCATGAGCTCTGTTTAATTTTTTTACATTTACATGTAAACATATGGTATTTGTCTATGATTTATTTCACTTGGCATAATGCCCTCAAGTTCCATCCATGTAGACACAGCAAGATTTTTCTTTTTTATAGCTGAATAATATTCATGTGTATGTGTACACCACACTTTCTTGATCCATTCATTCATCAATGGATGCTTAGGTTACTTCATATCTTGGCTATTGTAAATAAGGCTGCAGTGAACATGACGGTATATATCTTTTGAAATTATGTTTTCATTTTTGGGGGGTAAATACCTAGAAGTGGAATTGTTAGATAATAATGGTAGTTCTATTTTTAATTTTTTGAAGAACCTCTGTAGTGTTTTCCATAGTGGCTGCACCAATTTACATACTCAATAATAGTGCACACAGGTTCCCTTTTCTCCATATCCTTGACAACGCTTGCTATTTCTTATCTTTTTGATAATAGCCATTTTGAGCCATTTTGAGGTGGTAGCTCATTGTGGTTTTGATTTGCATTTCCGTGTTGATTAGTGATGTTGAGCACCTGTTTCATGTACCTGTTGGCCATCTGTATGTCTTCTATGGAAAAATATACATTCTGATCCTCTGCCCATTTTTTAATCAGATTGTTTTTTAACTGTTAAGTTATATGAGTTCCTTATATATTTGGGTGTATGATTTGTAAATATTTTCTCCCATTCAGTAGGTTGACTTTTTTTATTTTTGGTGGTTTTCCTTTGCTGTGCAGAAGCTTTTTAGTTTGATGTAGTCCTACTTGCTTATTTTTGCTTTTTAACTTTACTTTTGGTGTCAAATCCAAAAAATCATTGCCAAGACCAATGTCAGGTAGCTTGCTCTATATATATGTTTTCTTTTAGGAGTATGATTTTAGGTCTTAGGTTCAAATCTGTGATCATTTTGGGTTGATAATTTTGTATGGTGTAAGATAGTGGTCTGGTTTTCTTTTGCATATGGCTGTCCAGTTTTCCCAACACCCAGTTATTGAAGGGACTGTCCTTTCCCCATTGCATATTCTTGGCTGCTTCATTGTAAATTAATTGATTATATTTGTGTGATTTATTCCTGGGCAGAATGTATTCAAAATTGACCCAAAATCTTTTATAGCTAATTTGCCAGGCCAATGTCCTTTGGACTTTGCATTGCATATGTTTGCTCTAAGTCTCTTTTAAAGTAGGACAGGTCTTTTTATGATACTGAATTATTGGAAGGACCTGCAGATTGTCCCTTCTCCTTTATTTGTCTAGTTGCTTCCTCATGGTGTTATTCAGCTTGTCCTTTAACAATATTTCCTGTAAACTGGAAAATAGACCTAAAAACTTGCAGGAGTCTGGGCGCCTGGGTGGCTCAATCGGTCAAGCGTCTGCCTTCGGCTCAGGTCATGATCGCAGAGTCCTAGGATCAAGCTCCGCATGGGGCTCCCTGCTGAGCGGGGAGCCTGCTTCTCCCTCTCCCTCTGCCTGCAGCTCCCCCTGCTTGTGCTCTCTTCCTCTGTCAAATAAATAAAATTTTTTAAAAATTAAAAATAATAATAAAAACTTGAAGGATTCAAGTTAAAAAGTTTTTGGCTATGATGCCTCATAGGTGAGACCACCATATAATTTATCACCCAAATTAGAATATATACATTTTTTTGCCGTTTTATTTTATTTTTTAAAATTTGATTGTTATGTTAATCACTATACATTACATCATTAGTTTTTGATGTAGTGGTCCATGATTCATTGTTTGCGTATAATGCCCAGTGCTCCATTCAATACGTGCCCTCTTTAATACCCATCACTGGGCTAACCCATCCCCCCAACCCTCTCCCCTCTAGAACCCTTAGTTTGTTTTTCAGAGTCCATAGTCTCTCATGGTTCGTCTCCCCTTCCGATTCCCCCCCTTCATTTTTCCCTTCCTACTATCTTCTTCTTTTTTTTTTTTTTAAACATATATCGCATTGTTTGTTTCAGAGGTACAGGTCTATGATTCAACAGTCTTACACAATTCACAGCGCTCACCATAGCACATACCCTCCCCAGTGTCTTATCACCCAGCCACCCCATCCCTCCCACCCCCCCACACCTCCAGCAACCCTCAGTTTCCTGAGATTAAGAATTCCTCATATCAGTGAGGTCATATGATACATGTCTTTCTCTGATTGACTTATTTCGCTCAGCATAATACCCTCCATTCCATCCACATCATTGCAGATGGCAAGATTTCACTCCTTTTGATGGCTGCATAATATTCGTGTGTGTGTGTGTCTGTCTGTCTGTGTATACACACCACATCTTCTTTATCCATTCATCTGTCAGTGGACATCTTGGCTCTTTTCATAGTTTGGCTATTGTGGACATTGCTGCTCTAAACATTGGGGTGCACATACCCCTTCGGATCACTACATTTGTATCTTTGGGGTGAATACCCAG